CTTAATTCTTTCAATAATAACTCTACCATACACTTTACGAGGTATACTCAACAGACTTATTCCCCTATAATTTTTACACTCTTTTGTCCCCTTTGCCTTTATACAGAGGAACTATGCATGCTCTCTGCCAATCCCTAAGTACCTAACCTTGTTCCATGCATTTATTAAATAAAAGCACTAACCACTCCAAATCTGTATCCCCACCTGCTTTTAACATTTCTGTCTTTATCCCTTCAATTCCAGCTGCTTTACCCCCCTTTCATTCTACCCACTGCCCCATGCACTTTCCCTCACACTCACAACTGGTTCTTCCTTACTCCTATAAGATGTTATTCCTCCTTCCCCTATACACGAGAATCACATCTTCCCTATCTTCATCAACATTTAACCCCTTCAGGGTCCAAGGCCAAAATCTGATGTGGTGTTCCAGTGTCCAAGAAATTTTGAAAAAAAAAAAAATATTTTTTCTTACAGAATTAAAGAGCATATTTTTCTGAAGGTAATAAGACAAAAAAAATATTTCTGATCAGTACTTACCGAGATACAGTGCCGAGAAGTTTCTCCCAAATGACCTGGTGGCGGCAACATCGACGATTTCCACATACGCGCATTACTTTATTTAGCAGTTTTTGTAGTTTTTTTTTTTTCTTTTCCAATTTTTTTCTTTTCCTGCTAACATTTGGGGCCTGAGAGATCAATACTGTAGATAATGTATATATATAAACTCACTGTATTGAACACAATAACTGCACTAAAGTTATTATCATATTATTGTTTACCTCTGTTGTTTATTACAATAAACATGCACAAATCTTGTATAATACTAATGTTCTATCATATATTTACATATTTACAATCACTGGACATGGTTTTAGAACTGCTGGAGCTTGTGGAACTCCTTGAAGCAAGGCACCATGCACAGAGATACCTTACATTCCTCACACATAAACCGAGTGTCTTTGCGTCTTTGTTGCCGTCATTTTGTTTGTGCACATAATCCTTGAATTTATACATTTATATTCCCTGTTCCGATGTTAATGACACCAAAAGAACGAAATCTGATGGAAAACTGATGGAATTACGCTCTCGCGAAGCTAGCGACCTTGGCGATATTTACAAATCGGCGATTTCGCCCACTTTGAGCCCCATTTTCAGCTAATTCCATTGTTCCAGTCGACCAAACTCATAGCTCTTTCTTTAGAACTACATTTTGTCTATCGATTGAGTACAAGAAACTGCCCATTTACCGATTTCAACTATCCAATAACGGGGTCAGAAACTTGCAATTTGGCCAATTTCATGAAAATTAAAAAAATACGACAATTTCAAAACAAGGTCAGAATGAACAATGCAGACATTCCTGGCTCTAAAATAACATTTTCTTTGTTTATCAGTCACATCTGCAGGCCCCACTGATATTACTCTTGCTTTCTATTTTGAATTTTTATTCAAACAAAAAATAGAAGATTTACTGTTATGCAGACTACTGCATGTTATGTTGGTAGGTCTTATTATTATTTTGATAGTAAGGTTCTCACTACATGTTCTAGTGTGGGGTAGCTTTTTACTTAACCCTTTGACTGTTTCAGGCCCCTCTCTGAAACTGTCATTCTATGTCGCTCAATTTTTGAAAAAAAAAAAATTATTTTTTCTTATGAAATGATAGAGAATCCTTTCCCGATGGTAATGACACCAAAAGTTCGAAATTTGGTCGAAAACTCATGGAATCATGCTCCCACGAATTTAGCAGTCTCGGCGACATATGCGTATCGGCGATTTCGCCGAATTTGAGCCCTATTTTCAGCCAATTCCATTGTTCCAGTTGACCAAACTCATAGCTATTTCTTTAGAACTCCATTTTGTCTATCAGCTGAGTACAAGAAACCTCCCATTTACTAATTTGGACTACCCAATATGGTGGTCAGAAATTGGCAATTTGGCCAATTTCACACAAACTAAAAAAGATGCCAATTTCAAAATAGGGTCCAGAATAAACAAGGTAGACATTCGTGGCACTAAAATAACATATGCTCTGTTCATTAGTCACATCTCTAGGCCACTCTTATATTGTTATTGCTTTCTATTTTGATTTTTTATTCATACAAAAAAATACAAAATATACTGTTATGCAGACTACTGCATTATTGTAAAAATGGTATAAATAATATCAGTGCACTAGTGAAAGAATATTAGACTCCCCAGTTGACGTGTATTGGACGTGTGGTGTGATTTATTTACTCCTGAACATTGGTAAAAATCGAACATTTTCGCTACTTTAAGCTCAGTTTCAAGGTCGTTTTCATCGTCAAAGTAATGAAAATCATCTCTATTTCTGTAATATGTTTTCCATTTTATCACCTAAGACCATGAAAACGCGAATACAACGATAAATACTATACGAAAATACACCTCAAAGTCGGCGTTTTATTAAAAAAAAAACAATCAGTTTTTTTTTTCTCATTACGCAATGTGTGCTGCAGGATTTTTTTTATGTGGTGCACACTGACCACACAGACCCATTCTCTCACATGTGGGCCTACCAGCTTTCTCCCGCTTGATTTGAAGCCACTAGAATTATTGAGTATATATACGTCAGAAACATTGGCTCGTAAGACGTATTTATACGTCGAAAACAGTCAAAGGGTTAATGGCCTTATTTGTCTAGGGGTAATACTTACATCATGGCTGATCATCTTGAGTGTCTCTGATACCCTTTCACCAGCCCTCTTCACAGGTTATGTAAACTACTACTATAAAAATATAACTGTATTCTCAATAGATATGTACAGAATATACAATCACAGCCTCCCATTTTCAAAACAAAATCTAAACACTCCATACCTGTTCTCCACATGGTGTGTTCCAACAACTTTTGTCCTTCACTCTTCTTGACATAACTCTGGGCTAACCAGTGTTTTGACACACTTTAGTCACCCTGGGTATGGTGGCCACAACTTAAATTATAAAAACTCACCCCTGGAGCACACATAATGCCCCAAAAGATAGAAGAAGGACCCAGAGATCCTGCCAGGTTGAAGGTCAGCCACAGAGAGAGGGAGTCAGTGAGAGGGAGAGAGAGAGAGAGCCTGGCTAAGCTCCTCCCACCAAAACAAAAGACTGTTGCCAAGCACAATTCTCCAGTTACCACAATTCTACCACCCCTTAATTTTACTTTTACAAAAAGAAATACAACTTTATAAACTACTTATTTAAATTGTGTGTTTGTGTCTATAGTATAACCTATTATATTGAGAAAAATAGGCTTGACCCAGCTGCCTCTCAGTCATAAGGTTGATCAGTCCTTCTGACATTTAGAGCAAAGTCCCCATCAATTCAATATAATTAGGTATTCCAGAGTAACTGTTACTTATAAATACATGTTGGGTCCTATAGCCCCATAACACTGCAATATTGTAATAATTGTACAAATAATGTCAACCCATTCATGACTGCATATTAGAATGGCTAGTTGGACATTTATTGGACAATGACATCATTTGTTTACTTTCGAACATCGGCAAAAATCAAATGTTTCCCCTACTTTGAGCTCCATTTCCAGGTTCTTTTTATAGTAAAATCAATCAAAATCACTTCTAATTCTATAATATGTTTTCCATTCTATCAAATGAGACCAAGAAAACGAGAATACAACCATAAATACTATACAAAAATAGACCACAAAGTCAGCATTTTAATTAAAAAACTGTCAGTTTTTTTTTCTCATTATGCACTGCGTGCTCCAGGATTTTTTTTTTGTATGTTGCACACTGACCACACAGACCCATTCTCTCACATGTGGGCCTACCAGCTTTCTCCTGCTTGATTTGAAGCCGCTAAAATTTATGAGTATACGTCAAACACGGTAGCTCGTAAGATGTATATATTCGACCAAAACAGTCAAAGGGTTAATATAGATTTACATGCAGAAAAGAGTGCCAAATAAATGTAAAGCGCTAATAAAATGTATAAATGAACATTTAACATCTCGCTTACCTTTTATTGAAGACTTTCGTTGGTGTATTGCAGACAGTGCAGAGAGAGGGGAGGCGAGTTTATTGTTGGAGAATATGACACTCATACCTACTCTACGGCTTATTTATCTATCACAATTCAACTGATATGACATAATAAACAATATCAATAACATAGAAACATGGAATATACTCTAGAATGAATAAAATAAGTCATTATGTATGTCACGAGAGGTGTTGTGTTGTGTTGTTGTTGGGTGTATAAGGGCCACTCAGAGTAAGCCGTCGATAATGGTGGTGAAGCAGCAGCTGAGGCAGCGGTGTTTTCTGTAGCCCTATATAACTCCAACAACATTGGAGGAGTTTTTAGAATTTTTGAAACCACCATCACTACCACCTTCTACCACCATCACTAGCACCATCTACCACTATCATATCTGCTAGCACCCTCTACCACCATCACAACTGCTAGCACCCTCTACCACCATCACTACCACCATCTACCACTACCACAACTGCTAGCACCCTCTACCACCATTGCTACCACCCTCTACCACTATCACAACTGCTAGCACCTTCTACCACTATCACAACTGTTTCTACTCTACCACCACCACCTTTGTATTTTTCTACAAACTTTTTCTTAAATTATGTGTTTCTCACATTCTTTACCAAAGGGCTGGCACTAGAAGCTTTCTTTGGAGCCATGGTGACTTATTTAGCAGTTGCAAGCACTAAACGAATGGAATATAATGAAATGTATTGTATGAACTCGTGGGATCATCCTCACTCACTGATAAACAATGGCACACTGGCTGGGAATGGAGTGTGAGGCAGCTCGTGGCTGTGTGTATGTGTCCCAGACGAATGACTATTTGCGAGTCAAATGATGATTCGCGAGCCAATGTTTTGATGAAAATAACGTTACGACTTTTGAAAATTATGACTATCAAGCCTTACTATTATCGAGGGACCACTGTACTTCCCATTTTCTCAGTAAAAATAGGCACCTTTAAATTTCTCCCACAGAACCAATAAAGATGGAAGATTGTGTGGATAGTGGTGACTATGATAAGATATGCAATGACAGTGAGGACAGGAAAGATGTAGTGACTAACTTGCATCACCTTGACGACGCCTCAACAGATATTTCCAGGGAAGCGACCAATTACAGCCAGGTGAGAAGTTGCCAAAGATTTCTTTCTCCCTTTTCTAGAGCTCTGTTTTTTAATGTCTCTGTCTCTCATGTTTTGCTTGGTGGGGAGTGGGCCTTGATGCAGGTGAAAGGCTCTTCACCTGCATCAAGACCCTGAAGACCCTCCTGGGGAAGCCTGGTCTAGAGATACACTCGCCTAATTGTACTTACCTAGTTGTGGGTGCATGGGCCGAGTCATGGCTCCTGGCCCTGCCTCTTCACTGGTCACTACTGGTTCACTCTTCCTGCTCCATGTGCTTTATCATACCTCTTCTTAAAACTATGTATGGATCCTGCCTCCACTATATCACTTCCCAGGCTGTTCCACTTCCTGACAACTCTGTGACTGAAGAAATACTTCCTAATGTCCCTGTGATTCATCTGAGTCTTCAACTTCCAACTGTGACCCCTTGTTGCTGTGTCCCATCTCTGGAACATCCTGTCTCTGTCCAACTTGTCGATTCCTCTCAGTATTTTATATGTCGTTATCATATCCTCTCTAACTCTCCTGTCTTCCAGTGTCGTCAAGTCGATTTCCCTTAGCTTCTCCTTGTAGGACATGCCCCTTAGCTCTGGGACTAGTCTTGTTGCAAACCTTTGCACTTTCTCTAGTTTCCTCACATGCTTGGCTATGTGAGGGCTCCAAACTGGTGCTGCATACTCCAATATGATCCTAACGTACACAGTGTACAGGTCCTGAATGACTCGTTATTTAGATGTCGGAATGCTGTTCTTGGGTTTGCCAGGTTCCCGTATGCTGCAGCAGTTATTTGGTTGATGTGCACCTCAGATGTGCCCAGTGTTATACTTATCCCTAGATCCTTTTCCTTAAGTGAGGTTTGTAGGCTTTGGCCCCCTAGATTGTACTCCATCTGTGATCTTCTTTGCCCTTCCCTAATCTTCATGACTTTGCACTTGGTGGGGTTGAACTCCAGGAGCCATTTGCTGAACCAGGCCTGCAGCTTGTCTAGATTCCCCTGTAGTTCTGCCTGGTCCTCGTCTGATTGAATCCTTCTCATCAACTTCACATCATCAGCAAACAGGGACACTTCGGAGTCTATTCCTTCCGTCATGTCGTTCACAAATTCCAGAAATGGCACCAGTCCTAGGACTGATCTCTGTGGTACCCCGCATGTTACAGGTGCCCATTCTGACACCTCACCACATACCATGACTTGCTGTTGTCTTCCTGACAGGTTTTCCCTGTTCCATTGTAGTACCTTCCCTGTTATCCCTGCCTGGTCCTCCAGTTTTTGCACAAACCTCTTGTGTGGAACTGTGTCAAATGCCTTCTTACAGTCCAAGAAAATGCAGTCTACCCACCCCCTCTCTCTCTTGTCTTACTGCTGTCACCCTGTCATAGAACTCCAGTAGGTTTGTGATGCAGGATTTTCCATCCCTGAAACCGTGCTGGCTGTCGTTAATAATCCCATTCCTGTTTTGGTGCTCCACCACTCTCTTCCTGATAATTTTCTTTATGACCTTGCATACTATTTACGTCAGTGACACTGGTCTGTAGTTTAATGCTTCATGTCTGTCTCCTTTTTTAAAAATTTAGACTACATTTGCTGTCTTCCATACTTCCGGTAGTTGTCCCATTGCCTTTGAGGTAGTATCTAGCTCGCTTAGCAGCCTCTTCACTTCTTCCTCAGTTGTATGTACAGGTATTGTGTCCAACACTTTTATTTTTTCCTAAGCCTATTCCAGCCATTCATGTCAAGAAGTAGTGAAGACTCATTCCTCCATCAAAGTCAAAGACACATGCACATAATACAATGTTTGTACAGAGATGGGTGATATACTGTATACACCTACTATCCGACTTACGACCTGCTCGACATACAACCATTAGACTTACGACCATGTTTTCTGTGCCAAATTTCTGGCAAATAAACAACTGTTTGTGTTGTATGCAGTGTTTATCCTAAATCTTACAGTATAAAATAGAGTACTAACAGCATAAAAAGTAAAGTAAAAAATGAAATACCAAAATAAAACAATAAAATGAAGTCATTACAAAAATGTGATGTTGATATTCAGTAGTAAGGTTCGATTTACGTTCATTTTGATTTACGACCGGTTTGTTGGAACCGAACTCGGCCGTAAGTCGGATGGTACCTGTAGTTGTGCATGCAGGAAGTCCATAGATATGCAAAGCATTTATACAGGTACCATCCGACTTACGACCAAGCTTAGTTCCGATCAACCGGTCATAAGTCAAAATGGACGTAAGTCTAACCTTGCCACTGAATATCAACATCACACTTTTTTAATGATTTTATTTTATTGTTTTATTTTGGTATTTCATTTTTTACTTTACTTTTTATGCTGTTAGTACTGTATTTTATACCGTAACGTTTAGGATAAACACTGTGTACAACACAAAGAGTTGTTTATTTCCCAGAAATTTGGCGTACAAAACATGGTCGTAAGTCGAGTGGTCGTATGTCGAGCAGGTTGTAAGTCAGATGGTAGGTGTAATAATATAAAACAATAATAATATATCTTTATTTCTACAAGTACATGTACACGGTATACATGCCTAGCTGACATCAATGACACACACAGTGGAACCTCTACTTACAAGTGAATCCATGTGCAAGTTTTTCCAGATATGAGCAGTCGCTCAGTCAATTTTTTCTTCAAGATGTGAGCAAAATTTCCAGATGCGAGAGGGCCTCAAGGGAGGTTCCTTGATGCTGGTGAAGGGCTCTTGCTCTTGATCTAGGGAATTGGATCTTAGTTGTTTGTTGGATTATCTTATTGAAACTTGGGCAATATATGATAGAAAGGTGCTTCTTAACGTACACCAAAAATGAAAGAAATCGGACCATAAATAAAGGAGTTCACTTCTCAGTCATTAGCCTCCCCTTAGCTGTATATTTTCATATGGTTTTTATGGTTATATTCTCATTTTTTTTTTTTTTTTGGTCTCATTTGTTAGAATGTAAGATATATTACAGAAATAAACCATACCACAGGTGAGGTTAGAACCCGTGATCAGAGTCTCAAAACTCCAGATCATCGCCCAGTGGCTAACGCGATGGTCTGGAGTTTTGAGACTCTGATCGCGGTTTCTATCCCCGCCCGTGGTATGGTTTGTTTGCAATCATGCCATTATGATTTTGTGAATCATATTACAGAAATAGATATGATTTTGATTGGTTTCACGATGAAAAGTAACTTGAAATTGAGCTCAAAGTAGCAGAAATATTCAATTCTTTGGTGATGTTCAAGAGTAAACAAATGATGTCACAATCCAATACCTGTCTGATTGCCACTGCCCCTCAACTTTCACATATTGGAAAGCTCTTCAGCACGCTAGCAAAAGTGGGAGTAGACATCATGAGGTAACAGAGGTAGACAACATTAAGCAGCAGTGACAGACATCATGAAGCAGCAGTGGCAGACAACATGAGGTAGCAGTGGCAGATGACATGAGGTAGCAGTGGCAGACAACATGAGGTAGCAGTGGCAGACAACATGAAGCAGCAGTAGCAGACAACATGAAGCAGCAGTGGCAGACAACATGAAGCAGCAGTGACAGACATCATGAAGCAGCAGTGGCAGACAACATGAGGTAGCAGTGGCAGACAAGATAAAGCAGCAGTGGCAGACAACATTAAGCAGCAGTGGCAGATGACATGAGGTAGCAGTGGCAGACAACATGAGGTAGCAGTGGCAGACAACATGAAGCAGCAGTGGCAGACAACATGAGGTAGCAGTGGCAGACAGCATGAGGTAGCAGTGGCAGACAACATGAAGCAGCAGTAGCAGACAACATGAAGCAGCAGTGGCAGACATCATGAAGCAGCAGTGTCTGACTTTTTTTTGGGTTATCCTGGGTTCCCTACACATGTAGTCAGGAGCAGGAATGGGCACTGTGGTGGCCTTATAAACTCCAACAACAACAACAACAATGGCCATTGTCACCACCACAAGCCACATACATAATGACATGTACAGTGGACCCTTAACTAACGGCGGCATCGTCTAATGCTAAAATTGACTGACGGCTCTCTTTGGCATCAAAATATTGGCTCTACCAATGCCAAAAAACTTGTCTAAAGGCTTTCGTCCCGAACGTGTCTATGCACCCTGAGCAGGCCTAGCCACTCCAAGACTGCATATAGCCAGTGTGCCATTGTTTACAACCTGTTGCGGTTGATTCCATGTGTACATGCGATATATTATGTATTATTCCATTTTTTTAGTGCTTGTAACTGCTAAATAAGCCACCATGGGCCCAAAGAAAATTTCTAGTGCCAGCCCTGTGATAAAGAAGGAAAGAAACACAATAAAATTAAAGAAAAAACTCGTAGCAAAGTACCGAAGTGGAGGACGAAGAGAGAGGGGAGAATGTACCTTCTGCAGTGATTCAGTGATTCTATGATATGTACAATACTAAAACAGCAGGTGTTGATAAAGGCTATAGTGCCAGCGAGTGATAAAGTGTAGAATTAACAGTGCAACAAGTAAGTTAAGTGAGTAAGCAATAGAAAAGTGACACAAAAGTAACTCCAATGTTGTTGGATGTGTGTACATCCGCTGAACATGTGCCGGGCTACTATCTTCAATTACCCTAAACCTCTGCCAGCATCTCCTCCTCCAAACTAACTAATTAAACTAACATCTCCTCCAAGGTAAGTGTAAACCTAAATATAAAAGTGCAAGCATAAAAGTAAATATATTAAGTGTATATATAAAAGGACCCCAATGGAAATAGGTAAGTCACTCTGACTTTTTTGGGTTATCCTAGGTACTTTACACATATGCTGCTATGTATGATAATCAGTGTAATTGTATTTGTGTATACCTGAATAAACTTATTTATTTATAAATTAAAATGTAAATATTTCTTATTTTTAAATTACATACATTGTTTAATTGTGATGGTGGGTGATAGTGGCAGAAGCCTCCACCGCCATCAACACGGCTTCTCTCAACAACACCTACACCATTTACTCCTCTCATACATTATGA